CAAACCGTTCCTAGTACATTTGGTACAAGAACTAGCCCCCCCCCCCGCTTATCTCATTCTTTGAAGCCCAAGCAAGCATGTCCTCATGTTTCACAGAGAGACAGGAATGGCCCAGCAACTACAGTTAGCCTAACTTTGGCTAAGCTGGCCAAACAGTGTTCTGTACTCCATTTTCCTTGGACCTAACACTGATATTTAATCTAAATCTGCCATGCTGTAATGTGAACCCGTTGCCTCTTGTCCTGCCCTCTGTGGCAAGAGAGAACCATTTTTCTCCATCTTTTTTATGGCAGCCTTTCAAGTATTTGAAGACCGCTATCATGTCCCCCTCAATCTCCTCTTTTCCAGACTAAACATACGCAGTTCCTTCAGCTTTGCTCATCTTTGTCGTTCGCCTCTGGATCCTTTCCAGTTTCTCTACATCCTTTCTATACATTGGTCACCAAAATTAGACACATTACTCCAGCTGAGGCCTAACCAGTGCTGAATAGAACAGTACTATCACCTCCGTGACTTGCATGCTCTGCCTTCGTTAATGAAACCTAAAATTGCATTTGCTTTTTTTGCAACAGCATCACATTGCTGACTCATGCTGAGGTTGTGATCCACCATAACTCCCAGATCCTTCTCAGCAGTGCTACTGCCAAGCCAGTTTCCCCCAATTCTGTATTTGTACATGATAATGTTTTTAAGAACATAAAAGATTGTTACAAGGAGGAGGGAGAAAAAGTATTCTAGTTAACCTCTGAGGATAAGACAGGAAGCAATTGGCTTAAATAGCAGCAAAGGTGGTTTAGGTTGGACATCAGAAAAAAACACTTCCTGTCAGGATAGTTAAGCATTGGAGGTTGGGGAATCTCCATCAGTGGAGGTTATTTAAGAGCAGGTTAGACAAACACCTGTCAGAGCTGCTCTAGATAATAGTCCTGCCTCAGTGCACGGCCCTGGGCTAGATGACCTAGTTAGCTCCCTTCCAGTTCTATAAAAAGCAACAGAGGGTCCTGTGGCACCTTTGAGACTAACTAGGGTTAGTTCTGTTAGTCTCAAAGGTGCCACAGGACCCTCTGTTGCTTTTTACAGATTCAGACTAACACGGCTACCCCTCTGATACTTTCCAGTTCTATGATTTCTATGATAAGGTCAGTTCCTGAAGACTTTCTCCCTAGCTCATCATTAGATGTCAGGGGACAGCTCATTCAGATACTGCTTACAGGACTAACTCATTCTGTCTTGTTTTTGCACCTTTTCCCCATCAACATTTATTGTTATAAGTGACGAAGAGTCCTGTGGCACCTTATAGACTAACAGACGTATTGGAGCAAAGTTTTCGTGGTGAATACCTACTTTGTCAGAT